TCTGCCACAACCACACAGGTCCTCACCCGGGACAGGTCCAGTCCTCGTGCCTAGAAACAACGATAGCGACACAAAGTCAGCCTCCAACGTGCTCAGCTCTGTGAAGCCTGCAGATTCTTTCATGCAGAATCCCACGTAAACTACGGAAAACTCAACACAGCTGTTCATTTCCAGGGCTACCCATGTCCACATCATTAGTTAAACTCTTCCAGAATGTCGGTATAAAAAAAAATGCACTTGGATATTCAAATTATCAAGCAAGCCATTACAAACATACTTTAGACAACAGCAAGAAGCCACAGCACGAACCGTGATAAAGAGAAAGGCTGGGGAAAAGCAACTTCCTGGACAAACGATTGAGGGCAGGGTCCGAGGAAGGAAACTCTTCCTCACAAGCACAGCTGCACAAGCACGCACACCAGAGAGAAATGAGAAGACCTGCTGCTTTAAATAAAGGGACGCAAAACTAGAATTTTTGGACAAATTCATAAAGACAGCTCTCCCTTTATGTTCTGAGACTTAAAAGGTCACAGATAAACTCTTATCATCAAGCGCGTCTCAGTTTCTGCACCAAATTCAGTCAGCTGAGCAAAACTGCAGAAGTCGTGGAAGAATTCAGTGGGTTGAGCACAACTGGGAATAACCGGCAGTTCCTGGGCCGAGCTGGAGGGAATGAGGTCAGGAGCAAGCAGTGCGTTTGAATGTGAAGGTGAGCAGTGAACCAGGGTGTCTGGGAGTAGAACCAGAGCTGGTAGGAGGTAACTATAAACCCAAACCATTCAGCCCTGCAAGTGTTCTTTAAGGTGGTCTCAGCACAGAGATGACTGACAAGGGTCCTGAGTGAGGGAACACGATTCAAGATAACTTTGACATTAAAATTTAGTATTAGATATGATTGTATATTCACATAGTTACATAGGAAAAACTGAAACCTAGGTCATAGAAATGACACATTTGCATGTGTATATGTTTGACAGGCAAGGTGCCAGGGAATATGCGACAGTGTCGGGAGCCGGAGATTCAAATTTGGCTTCAAGTTTATTCAGTGTAAAAACTTGGGAAGGTTGCTCAATTTTCCTGTAACTTAAGTTTCCTCGTCTTTAAAATGGAGACAATGATTCCTATTTCAGAGAGCTGTGTAAGGACTAAAGGAATATGTAAAGTGCTTAGTAATCACTCAATTATGTTATTATAATTTCATTTTGGTTACTTACATATGCACCAACAGGAAAAGATCATGAAATTGTACTCTATAATTTTATAATGTGATACAGGTGGACATAAGTAATAATTATGTTTTATATTTTTTCCCATATAAATATGTAACTTCAAATAATTGCATTTATTTATATAGCTTAATATCAATGCTATCTTGCATTCTATTTTCCTGTTCAAGCTTAATGCATTAGTCCTGAGTGGGAAAATGAAATGCAGGAGTGACAAGTGCACTGCTTAAGCATATTTGGGTACAGACAGTGTGTGTGTGTACACACAAACACAAACATGATCTCTATGTGCACAAAGACATGCACACATCTGGACATACAAACAGTGAACAGCAGGTAGGAATATGATTGAAACAGGTCATATGATTATTCCCTCCTAGTGACTTGGAATTAAGGACTCCTTAACTTACCACGAAAACATGTCTATCAAAATGTCCATGGTTTAAATGAAGAGAAAAACTATAATTCTTACATAATGGCAATTATATTAAAAAACCAAAAAAACACAGCACTGTTTGCTTAATTATGAAATGAATTTTGGTTAGGGTCCAGACCTGGGGTCCAGGAAAACAAAAATGAGTGGCTAAATTCAAACCCATCTACTTAAACGATATCAGATAAAGTAAATTGCACCAAAGAACTCAAGTCAGCAAACAAATAAAAAAGCAGATTTAGAATTTTTCAAGTAGACCTAGTGGAATAAAAGTGAAATAAAATATTTCACTCTGGCTTATTACTACTTGCGGCAGTGGGAAAATATTCATGTTATAAAATGTTTTCACATGAAAACAATTTGTAAGCTTCAGGTGACAGTAGATGATACCCTGGCTTTTTTGAAGGACTGTTTTTACTTCACCAAATCTACGAATGCATGTTCTTAGAACATGAGGTCCCTGGGGACTCTGGAGGCTCTGGGAGGGGAACACAGTGGCTTACCTTGAGGGATTCCGTTTGTGAGCCCAGCCCCTTGGTGCAAAGCTCCATCACTGAGTAGGAGCAAAAGGTGTCCCGGACTTTATACTGACTCACAGCAAGAAGCCACAAGGCAGGGTTGGTTTCCAGCTCAGACGGTGGGATCAGAACGGATTGGTGCCCAGAATACACACTGCGGAAACAGAGGGGCCATCAGGGAGGCACTCAGCAAGGACTGGGACATGAACAGCCTATTTTGTCATTGGTAAGATGGGGACAGTAAAACCAACTCTGTAAAATGAAATCATGTTTACGAGAGCATTCTGAAAAGCACATATGTACTACAGGAATTATAATGCAGAGTTGTTACCACTTGAGCACGTATTTAAAACGTATAAAAGCTGTGACACTTGGCTTTCTCTCAATGCCACTACATTAACAAGCTGGGCCCTCTTTCATAGTACAAAACACAGGGATCAGGATCAAATTTTGGTAAAAACATCTGGAAATTCAGAACAGGAGTTGGCAGACCACAGATGCTGTCTGTTTTTGTAAACAAAGTTTTGTTGGAACAAAGCCACTGCTCATTTGTTTAAATATTGTTCCCAGAAGCTTTGAGCTGAGTGGTGGGGACAGAGACCACAGAGCCTAAAGTATTTACTAAACAGCCATTTAAAAAAACGTATGCCTACCCCTGGCCTAGAAAAGTGACATCCAGAGTAAAAGCATCTTTTTAAGTTTGTATTTTAAAAGTGATCCAAAAAAATCACCAAACAGAACAATTAAGGAAAACATAACCATTCTTTAATCATACCTTTATATCAGATGGCACATTTGAGAAATAAGGAAAAGTGATTACATATTTTAATTCACCATCAATTGATGGAGTAAATGTGGATTTAAAACAATGAAATATTTGCCAAAACTACATTTTTAATGGTTTTAATTGTTTTTTGTTCACTACTGTGTATCAACATTAATAGGTGTCATACATTATAATAAAATATCCTAGATAAATTACCTTCCAAGATTTAAATAAAAAGGATTTTCCAGCTACAGAAAATTTCACAGATGAAATAGCATATCGGGCCTCATTAACTATAATACTAAACACTAATTCTTTAATGTGGTTCAATCTCATTTAAAAATTTGTAAAGGGCCACAAAAAATGATAACATTGTATAATATTGAATATACTAATTATCCTGATTTGAGCATCACATATTACACACAGGTATTGATATGTGACTCTATATCCCACAGACAAGTATAATCAATTACGTTTCAATAAAACAAAATAATTTCAAATTTGTTTATAAGAGAATCTAGCTGGTTAAAGAAATGCAAGGAAATTAAGTTGATCCATAAAATCTTCTTCAAACAGAACCCTTAGTAGGGAACACTATCATTGAGGGAATGTGATAAAGGACATTTTTTGGCAAGTTTCCATTTCTTTCTTTATTCCTCTGTTCCAAAGTTTTATTTATTTTTGTCTAAAGAAAATATAGCAAACACTGACCTTTTCTGTGGCCTTTACAAAGCAATCATTTGAAAACCAGGAGGTTAGGGACATGAGGGAGAATATCAGTCCTCGAATAATTATTATGCTGTAAATTGGCTATTTCTGTCTTAATTTTTAAAATTTTATTGTGGTAAATATATACAACGTAAAATTTTCCATTTTAACCATTCGTAAGTGTACACTTCAGTGGCATTAAACTCACATCAATGTGCAGCCTCACCACTTATTTCCAAAGCTTTTCCATTGCCCCCAGCTGAAACTCCACCCATGAAGCAATAATTCCCCATCCCTCCCTGCCCCCAGCTCCTGGCATCCTCTAACCTACTCCCCCCATCTCAATGAATTTGTCCTTGCACGTACTTCATACAAGAGGAATCATGCAGTATTTGTCTTTTTCTGTCTGGCTTATTTCACTTAGCATGACGTTTCTGAGGTTCATCCACAGTGTAGCACCTGTCAGAATTTTCTCCATTTTATGGCTGGATAATATGTAATTGTATATATGTACCACATTTTGTTCATCTATTCATGCACTGATGGACACTTTCTTGGTTTCCACCTTTTGGTTACTGTGAATAATGCCGCAATCCACCCTGGTGTACCAGTCACAGCACCTGTTTTCAATTCTTTTGGGTATATGCCTAAGAAAAGAACTGCTGGATCTTATGGTAATTTTGTGTGTAACTTTTTGAGGAATCAATAAACTGTTTGCTACAGAGGCTGCACTATTTTACATCCCATTAGCAATGTACAAGGACTCTGATTGCTCCAAATCTTTGCCACACTTGCTATTTTCCATGTTTTGGATTCCTACTGGTGCACTGGGTGTACACTGGTATCGTGTACTTTTGATTTGTATTCCCTATGGAAACAACTTATTTTTACAGTCAATATATCAAATCAACAAGATCCCCTTTTGATAATTTTAACACTCAAATTCTGTCAGTTTTCACTAAGATGTGTCCTTGGGAAATTAATTTAGGTTGTTAAAGATCACTTTATATTAAGGTTATCCAATGGAGATCAAATGACATTACAAGTCCATCTGTATAACGAAACAGACTTACACCTTGTTCAAACACTACTTAATACAAGTAACATTCTATCAAACAAAATTTCTGTACAAATTTAGCCTAGGCTTTGCAGTCTGTGAAATAAGCTTTGATCCAGATGTTCTTTTATATAGAACTGTGAGTCTTTAAAGTCAGAGTTCCTATCTAGTTTAGGAAGCCAGCAGGAGATGAGCTTTCTAGCACGTGTGTTTGTTTTCTCACTTCTGGGGCATACCATATTATTCTCAAGACAACCTTCCAAGAATTATACATGTGGGGTCTGAAACCAAACCAAACATCTCCTTAGCTCCAGTGAGGAAGGGGCCAGTGCCCCTCTGCTCACACACACAGAGAGGTCCTACGCCCCTTTTCTGGAGACCTACAGTCTTATTTTGGGGGCCTATCAGAGCTCAGACAGACACAACACTCTCCCACCTCCCGCTAAAACCCTGTGTGGATGGGTCTTGTCCCAGTCCTTTTCCTGGAGGGGTAGTCACTCTCACAACACTGACGAGGGGAAGGACAGTCCCACCTGTACTGACTTTGCTGAAAGTTGGTGCTGTTTTGTTTTGCTACTGTAACCACTATTTCCAGTCTTGCTTTCTGTTACAACACACCACTCCAGAATCAGCCTATAAACTCCATCTAGGTGTGACTCTGAATTAGATCCTTTCTTATTAGCTAATATGTCAACTCTAATTAGAAGCCTCAAGACAGCACTAAGCAGAAAGAAATAAAAATAACAGATATTTACCTGTACTGAGTGGATATTAAAAGGATAATCTCAGGGCCAAAAATGGGGTCATACACCAGGTAATAGCTTAAGATCTAACAAGCCTGCAAATTATGCATCTCATAAATCCTAATCATTCACTAGGAAACCTTACGTGTCTTACCACTCTGAGAAGTGATGGAACAAAGTGTTTCTGTTAACACTAAATGTTATTCAACCCTTCATAAATCAGGGTTATAATACCACCTTAATTAGATTTCCTTGTATGCTTTTTATTGCAGACGAAAATTAAACAGCTTCTCTTCACACTAAGGATTCTACATGTTCTGTGCCACGTACCAAACATGCTATGACATTAGGGAATCAAAACACAGGTGGAAACCTTGTGAGGATTTTCCTCTTAATTATGACAATCTGTCATTTCCACATTGTTCCCAGCATTTTGCTTCATAAACACTCTCATAAGGAGATCCAACATGAAGAAAATTAAATCAAAACAGCCCACCCATAGCTTTCTCAAGAATTCACATCAGGATTAACAATTTGCTTGATCGGAACTGTTAGCACACGAACAGGGCTGGATCCACAGGTGAACTTGAGGCTGGAGCATTTCGAGCATACTTGTGAGAATTAAATACAGGTTCGCCTCCTCCTCATCTCATGAATAGGAAGTCAACATGAGGAAAAATTAGTAAACCCTGATACTAGAAGACAGACAGAAAACTCGGCTCATGAACCTTCTTGCCTTTTCCCAGTCAAGCAAATGTTCATTCACTGCTGCACTCACTGGCCAACACTGATTTTTTGGCACAGATATACTCCTATGGACAAACCTACTTAATAGCAGGTTGCTTATTCTGAGGAAAGTATTTTCAGAGAATTTTTAGAACCTGAGCTGTTATACTTTAGATCTTAACTCCAAAAAGAACAAAGTAATTAAAGAGACATTTTAGTACCTAATACAAATGTGCACAGCAGTAATTCAGCAATTCCAGATTATCAACCAGACGAAACACACGATCAGCTAAAAGCAACCACAGCCTGGGAACTCAGCAGGGAGACCCAGGTCACCAGTGGGTCCCACAGGCTGAGCCTCCCCTGGTGGCTTGCTGTATGCAGCCCTTCGATCTGTGCGTGCTGCAGTCAGGCAATGGCACGCTTTCTTTGTTTCTAAAACACTTTCAGTTTCATTTAGGTTTACTTTGCATGCCTTAAAATTTGCCCAGTTTAAGCATAGAATTAAATGATTTTCAGTAAATTTGCAGAGCCATACAATTCTCACCATAATACTAACCCTTGCCCAAGCCAATCACTATTCTACTTTCTGTCTCTGCAGATTTGCCTTTTCTGGATATTTCACATAATACGATCATGTAATATTTGGTCTTTTGAGTCTGGCTTCTTTTGCTTAGCACTGTACTCCACTGTAGAGATATGATAAACATTGTTTATCCATTCACCCACTGGTGGACATTTGGACTCCCTTTTATTGTTTTGACTAAGGCTCCTGGGAATATTTACATCAAGTCTTTGTGCAGATGCAGGCTTTCCTTTCTCTTGGGTGGATGCCTAGGAGTGGAATTGCTGGGCCATATGGTAGATTTATGTTTAGTGTTACAGATCATGCCAAACTGTGGTTTCCCCATTTTACATTCCCAACAACAATGCATAAGAATTCCAATTTTTCCAAATTCTTAGATACTGTTGCTTTGTAGTGTAAGTTGCTTTTAAATTTTTGAATTTTAACTATTTTTGAATTTTAAGAGTTCATTATATATCTGGTTATAAGTACTTTACCAGGTAAATAATTTACAAATTTCCCCCCCAGATTCTGGCCCGTCTTTTCACTTTCTTAATTGTGTCTTTTGACATACAAAAGTTTGAACTTCTGTTGAAGTTCAATTTATCAATATTTCTTTCGTGCATTGTGCCACTGGTGTCAGGTCTAAAAACTCTGCCTAACCCAAGATTATGAAGATTTACTACTGTTATTAAATTTTTATAATTTTCACACTTACATTAAGATCTATGATCCACTTGTATTAATTTATGTAATATAAAAATTTTAATATTTTTGCATGTGAATGTCCAATTTTCTAAGCATCATTTGTTGAAAAGACTATCTTCACCATTGGATTGTTTTGGTACCTTTGTTATAAAAAAAAGCACTGACTTTAAATCTAAGGGTTTATATCTGGACACTCAGTACTGTTTCATTTATCAGTCTATCTCTGTGCCAGTACCACATTAACTTGGTTATCGTAGCTTTGCAGTAATTTCTGATGTAAGGAAATGGAAGTCTGAATTTTCTTTGTTATTCTATTTCAAAATTGTGTTGGCTATTGTGGGTCCCTTATATTCCTTTGAGGATCATGTTGTCTATTTCTGCAAAGAAGTGTGCTAAGATTTTGATCGGGATTACACTGAATCTATAGACCAACTTGGGGAGACCTGCCATCTTCATAATACTGAATCTTCTAATCCATGCATATGGACATACTCTTTAAAGACATGTATGGTCTTAAAAATATTTTGAATCAACTCCATCATATCAATGATTCTCAGATAAACAACCTATTTTATGATTGAAAGAGCTTTAGGATGAAGATATACAAAAAACTATTTGTATTTGTTTTTTACTTTCAAACAATCACAAAGTTACAGAAAATTTACAGACTCAGTTAAAAAAAACCTTTTCCCCTTGAATTATTTGACAGTGAGTCACTAGCCCGATGCTCCATCAACCCCAGGTACTTCAGGGGGTGTTTCCAACAAACAAGTTATTTTCCTCCACAAACCAACTGAGCCATCAAAATTAGAAAACTGATACATTTCTTCCATCTAAGCTCAGACCCTATTCATGTTTTGCCAGTTGTCACAAATGCACCTTTTATGGCAAAAGGATCCAGCTCAGACTTGCACGGGGCATTTGAGCTGTGCTCTCTCAGCGTCCTTCTGCCCAGGACAGCAGCTTCTCCACATTTCCCTGACTCTCAGGACACCAAGATTTGGAAGGTTACAGGCAGCCATGTGGTCGAATGTCTTTCAGTGTGGGTGTCTGATGTTTAGACGTGGTTAGATCCTGATTAAGCATCTCTGGGGGAAATGCAGAGGATGTGATGCTGTTTTCTCACCTGTCCGCCTAGTGATACAGGACTTCACTGCACCCCTGGAGGAGATTGCTTTCATCATGCGAGTCGGCCCCCTTCTGAGAAGTTTCTCCTTCCTCCTCAGAACTATTTTGGGATGGCTACTACATATATCTTTGTTCTTCAGGCTTTCAGTTTTCTCACCTATTTGCATCTGAATAGTTGGATAACTTCCTATTTTGTCCAAAGTGTTAAAATCTGTTGTAATCTTTATTCTGATGCTCAAATTGTCCCTAATTTGGTCAGGGCACACCCCTTCAAATTGGCTCTTCTGTGCTTTTGACATGACCTCATCATTCTTTGAGCATTTTCTTGCTTTGTAGCTTAAAAAGACATTCCAGGGTCATCTTGCACATATCCTGTCCCAGCCCTGAAATCAGCCATTTCTTGAGAGCCCTAGTCCATTTTAGAGGAAAATGTATTTAACAGCCAAGATATGGATGTGAGGTGTGCTCCTTGCCGCTGCGGTCTGACAGGGCTAGGGCGTACGTCTATGTGTTCATTCCCTCATACAGCACACACATGCACCCACATTTCTAACTCTACCAGCATTTGTTGAAAAGCATGAGTCACAATAATACACTAATTGCCATCCAGCACCACAGGGCTGACTGTACTTTCTTTCTGTATTTATAACACCCTTTGCCAAAATGGAGGAATCTGGCTTCCACTATTGCTAAAACACATACTTACTTTCAATCTCCCGTATGAAGCCAGCCTCCCTCTGCCACCACCCACCCCCTGGAATAAGCTCTGACTCCCCCAGCACTTCCCTGCCCGGCCTGGCTCCACACCCCACACAGCTGCCTCTCCATGTGGACGCTTTCTCCCTTCCACTTGTGCTCTGACATGCTGAACAGGCGGCTCTTCCACCACCACCTTCCCCACCCTGCGTGGGCACTTCTGTGCCTGGCCCAAGAGTGATGCCTCCTTCACCTTGCATACCCTCCGGGCCTCTCCTGCCTCACCCTCGCCCCAGACCCACAGAACCGCATGGGAAAGGAAGGTTTTATTATTTCCAACTTTTGTACTAGTGATTGTGCATCTAAGACGCAAGTTTTTTGGGAAGCAAGTCCATTGGGATCTGTCTCTACAGAGAATTTCAGAAAACGAAGACTTTTACAGCTGTAATATATTTATTTTTATTGTTGCAGGGGCAAGCAACAGAATACTATGATTTTGTGACTTCTGAATGAATCTGCAGGAAGGACGTTCCTTAAAATAAAGGTTCCCTGCAACCTGGACAGCCTACCTGGGCAACCCCTTCAGTAGCCACTATCAGTAACTCACATCAAGCACCTAGTTTCCCTTCAACAAGCACCTTCTCTGTGGATTTTGTGGGGTGTTTGGTTTGGTAAGGCTGCAGAAGCAGAAACTCTTCCATTCGCTGGCCTTGGCTGCACGGGGACACCTTGACAAATCAAACACCATCATCCTACAGAGATGGAAGCTGAGAACAGGCTCTGCCGCCTTGCCCCACTGGGCCCATAGGTCTGGGGTGCTTCAGCCCAGCTGTTGGAATGGCACACTTCTGAGCTACTTCCCAAGGAAAAAAAAATTACTCCCAACTATTGCATTTTGGATGGAATCAAAAATCATTAAATATTTAATATATTCAGTTCTATGTGCTCTCTTGAAAAGTTTAATTGTCCTAGTTAGAATGTCAGTGTTTTCCAAAAACACAGGATTGGATTTTAACCCAATCAATACTATTAAATATTATGAATGTATTAAAAATAATTGTTCTAGAAGAGTGTTTAAAGACATGAGAAAATGTCCACTATGACCTATTAAGAAAAAAGAAAATTAAAATGAATTTCATACTATAGCATCTCAGTTTTATCAATACATTAATGTATATTTATATATAAAACTGTATGCATACATATTAATAGGTAAAGTAAAATCATATGATATTTGTGTTTGCTTTAAAATATCCCATAAAAAAAGGGAAAAGTAGAGAAATAGATGAAACAAAATTGATAAAATATTGATACATGTAAAGCTGGACAATGGGCACTTGTGTTTAGTATAGCAAACTTTACACATTTATAAATAATGTGTATTTATATGTATTACAGCATACTTTATATATTTGTATATAAAGTATATACTTTATAAACTTGTATATGTTTATTATAGCATACTTTATACATCTGTATATAAAGTGTACTTTATACTTTAAACATATACACTTGCATATGTTTATTAGATACTTTATACATTTGTATATACAGTGCATATAAAGTGTATATACTTTATACACTGTTTATTTTATTATAGGATACTTTATACATTTATATATGAAGTGTATATACTTTAAAAACTTGTATGTTTATTATAGCATATTTTATGCATTTAGATACATAGTGTGTATACTTTATAAATTTGTATATGTTTATTATAGCAAACTTTATACATTTATATATAAAGTGCATATAAAGTATATACACTTTACACACTTGTATATGTTTGAAAATGTTAATAGTAAAAAGTCAGTATGCTACATTGGAAAATAACCTCTGAAAGACTATAGGCCAAACTGCTCATAGTGGACATTTATTGGTTCCACCATTTATTAGGTGGCATGATTACTGATGGCTTCATTCTCTTCTTTGTATTATTTATATTTTCTAAATTTATACAGTAAACATTTATGTATAATCTGAAAACAAATGCCAAGAAACATCCATCTGTGTACGCTGTCATTCATTTTCCATAAGTATTTGCTGAGCACTCGGTAGTAGCCCAGCACTGAGCTGACTCCTGGGCTGCCCCACTGAGCCTCCTCCAGAGAACAGGTGGGAGAGGCCTGCAAGAGGCAAGAGCCTGTAATGCCCACTGATTCAGTAAAACTCCAGGCCAGGCATCACTGCCAAGTTTAAAAACATAAGAGCCAAGCCTGAGCCTGGGCATCTTCTGACTGTGAGAAATGAGGGTCCACAACGGGCAACTTCTCAGAATGCCCCGTGAGGCACTGTCTATGAGGTGTCCTCAAAACTTCATCGAGATGCTGTAGGAAGTGGAATACCCCCACAGTACCGCCCTGTCCCTGAGCACTATGTCCATAAGGGGAGGCCTAGAGACAGGGTTTCTGCCACTCAGTTGCAGGCAAGGCCAAAGGTCAAGAAAGGAGGGAAAATTTTTTTATTTTAAACATATTAAAAAGGAGTCTCACCTGCAGAGGCACCAGAGGACAAATCCAAGTCCACAGTAAGGGTCCAAACAGATGGCCACTTCTCTAGAGGGGTAAAGCTCACACTGCAGCTTAATGGAACGGCAAAAGGCACTGGTGGCTGCATGAGACATCTGCAAGACAACAAGGCTGCATTAAATGCATGGTCTCTTGATGCTCCACACCCAAGGACATCTGTAAGACAAAAGGCCCCATTAAATGCACAGTCCCTGACACCCCAAGACCAAAGACATCTGTAATGCAACAAGGCCACATTAAATGCATAGTCCCTGATACCCAAGCCCAAAGACATTTGTAGGACAAGGCTGCATTAAATGCATGGTCCCTGACACCCCAAGCCAAAGATGTCTGTAAGACAACAAGGCTGCATTAAAGGCATAGTACTTCATACCCCATGCCCAAAGACATATGTAACACAACAATGCTGAACTAAATGCTTGGTACCTACCACTAATACCCAAAAGATGTTTTTAGGGCCAGGGACAACTAGCCAAGCTTGGGGTAAGTTGTGTAAGGGGAGAGTGGGCTGCTGATATTCTAATTAGTCTTCTGATTTTCAAATAATAAAACCCACTGAAAACTTCCTGGTCCTCCAGGACCTAATAGCTCTGGGGGTCTCGTGTGATCCCTACAATAGCCTGTTAAGTAGGTGGCACAGGGCCTTGGTTCATGCCCCCTTGCGGGCAGAGACCATGCCTTGTTCCTGTGACAACTCCAGGGTCTGACACCTGCCACACAACAGGCAACCAGGAACACATGCTGGATGAGTCATCCCTGTCTTAATGATTAGGAAATGGAGACTCAGAAAAGTTAAAGACTGCTGAAGGATTTAGAACCCCAGCCCCCACACTGAGCCCAAAGCCCTTCCCATCATCTGGCCGACCTGCTGGGAGGCAGAAGCCCACATCCAGCCTCCTCCCTGTCATCACCAAACTGCAGTGAAGAACGAACCCCCTGCCTTTCCCCGTCCCAGTGTTAGTCCCACTATGGTCAGTATGTAGTGTGAATTATTTCAAAATACTGTGAAATAGATCTAATAAAATCCATTTTCTCATAGACACATTCTAGCCAAACAAACGTAGAAGAGAAAGGGAAGGAAAAGCAGCACAAAAAATGACCAGCTTCATGGTTTACAGCATGTAACACATTAATCTGAAGTGCATGTCGCCCAGAGGTGAGCTGTAAAGGGGCCCAGCACGGAGCATCGTGATAACCAGGGAAGCCTGGCCCATTCACTCCCAAGAGAGAGAAGCTGGGGCTGGGGGAGACTCTCACTGAAAAATGTCAGATGTTGTTAGAAGTTCCGCCCCAGAGGAGGTTTCATCATGGACATTTTACTGGATTCATATAGGATAATGCAGAATTACTCTAGTATGTAAAATGTAAGCAATTTTTCTAGCTTACTTTTTAATGCCACAACATTTTCTTAAAGGAGAAAGAAGGCTGGATTTGCAAAATATTCCTTCATTCTTCTGCCTCCCGGGATCAGGGTTAGTAAAATCTTACCCACCAAAGTTACCTGCACACCCAGATCAGCAACCAAGCAAACCTGTGCTGAACTGCTGCTCTGTGCAAGGCACTGCTTACAGCTGGAAAACTGAGTTCTTCAGCTTAGCCGGCACATACTGATATACTGAGTGCTTAATATGGATCAGGCACTGTGTTAGATGCCAGGAATATAAAAGAGTAAGACCCAGCCCTGCCCTCAGGTGCTCAATCTGGTGGGAAAATCAGTGATACAAGCTGATAAACTGCAAGATCTATGAGTGTTGGAGAAATGTGTATTGAGTGTAGAGATGGGGAGAGGGGCAGGGGGTGCTCCCACTACCCTGGTGGGGGGTTACAGAGCATGCTGTATCTCCAGGATGACTTCAACATTGCAACAAGAATGGAAACAGGTTAAGAGAAAAGCAACTAAGAAAGCTGAATGCTCACTCTCTAAACTCATTCCACTCTTGGACCCTGGCAACATCATAAATCAAAGAGCCCAAGGTGGAATGCTTTTCAAGAAAATATAAGAAAAACTCCCAATTCTCATTAAGATAGCCTTGGATGAAGAATTAGTTTTCTGAAAGCCCCCAAAACAAACTAATGATGTACTCTAACAGAGACACTGAGAGGAGACATACCGATGTGGAGAAATCAGGGATGAGGTCAACTATCTGTATTCTGGGATATGTTTTGTGACTTATCTTGGGCAGATCTGCCTTCCAGTGCAGTTTGGCTTTGGCTGACTTCAGTGCTACTGAAATTAATTCACCTTGGTCTGAATACATTTCTCCCTTTCTTTTAAACAGCTTTTGAAAAATTATTTTATTTTACATTGTGTTAGTTTGATGGATGGAGTGTGAGAACTAAACGAGGTGAGTGAAACAAACTCACCAGGCAGGCCAGAGGCACAGGTAAGAGGGCAAAGGCTGCTGAGGCCACGGAGAATTTAATGGCTCAGTTTTGTGTAGAACCTTGGCAAGGACATCACCTGAGCTGTGAGGGCTATAATTCTGGGTGACATCTTAGTAGGTCCATTCTTTAATAGAAAAAGAATCATCGCAGCTTCACTGAGCAGCAATCTGGCAGGTTGTAACGGAACACAAATTTAAAAAGCAAGAATCTGCAGTGTGCAGAGACTCACCACAAGAGCACTCGGATTTGGAGCCAGCAGGAAAGAAAAGCACATGCAGTATTCTAATTTGGGCTGGTGAGACTGTGTGTTTACATTAAAAAATTGTCGAAGCATTTGGAAATAATCAATCAGCCTAGTCAACTAGTGAAATGGTCACACATTCTACAGCATGAACGAAATGCTCATCTACACCTCTTTCCACATTCTGTCAGAGCCCTGCTGTACATAAGAGCACAGACTGACAATCAATTGTATGTGGCCTGCTGGCCCCTCTCACCTTTACGCCAGCGAGCATCCCAGTTGTGGACACACTGAAATCAAGATAAGCGAGCGTGTCTGGGTTAGAAGGTTTGTAGATCTGGGCAGGCCGCTTCTTTGGCAAATCATCTGGAGAGCAAAACAAAGCTGTTAGCCTATCCCCATAATTAAAAACCATGCAAGCAAACAAACTTATCTGGCTAGTTCAAGTATTGACCTGTGTCCAGTATGAGGGGCCATGTCCTGACATCTACCGCTGCCGCCGCCTCCCTTGACCGTAACAACTTACAGATCAGCTGCGTTGTCATCAGACAGGCAGACCGGCTCACCTGAGGGCCAGAGAACAGAGCAAGGAGGGAATGAACGCCAGCCACAAATGACAAAATCTGAGAACTCATCACGCACATGCCTAGTGCTCATTACGCATATTAAAACCAGGGCGCTGTAGCTGGCAGATGAGATCACCACCACCCTGCTGCTTCCTGCAGGGTTTGCTGAGGCTCGAGGGAGCACGGAACCTGGCCCCAGAAGTACAAGGGCACAGCACAGGGGCTCAGGGTCCTGGACCTGCACCCAGGCGCCGAGTGGTATCACAGCATTCAATCCCACTCAGGAAAGGGCATCGAAACTAACTGGTCCCAGGACATTGGCATTTTCTGTCCCTGAATGTTTTGCTCCTCATGGTTCCTCCTCCCATGGGGAAAAACTTATCCTAATCCTCTTAAACTTCTCCAGGTGTAAAAAAATTTAAAACAAACCTATACTTTCAAAAAGGAACAGGAAATTTCTAAATCTTGATGAAGGGACTTCCTCACTTGGTTGCTTTGCTCCACTGGGATTGGTGGGAAGCCCCAGTGGTGGTTGGGACACCTCTCTAGGGAGCTACTTTCTCTAGGGCACCTTCAGTTTCTGTGCAGTGTAGCCCCTACTTCCAGGCACAGTGTAAATTTTGCTTTCAGAGTAGATCGTAAGTTTGCTGAAGGCAGGGACCATTTTCTGTACTAGTACTTTGGTTCCAGACACACACACACTCTCCCACAGCCTGCACTGCCCTGGAAGATTGCAGGGTCTGTGACCTGCGAGCTCAACACTCAGACCTGGGGCAGATGAGTGCCCAAGTCCAGGTTTCCGTTACCTCCACAATCATCTTGACGGTAGGCAGTGTCGTTGCGATGTTTTGTGGATGGGGAGGACGGACAGTTATTGGCACACAGCCTGCATACAGGCAACCATAAAATGCTGCAATGAGGTCTATTCCTACACAAGGAGAAAAGCAGAAGTTCCTTCTTGAAGCAAATCATACTGTTCAACGGCCGCCGTCCCTGTCAGCACAAACACCAGTCTGGGAAAAGTTAGACAGTTAAGCGAGCAAATAAACCTTTAACAGACTCCTGTGTCCCTGGGATTTTGGGAAGCTTTGGCGATCACTTTTATTTGGCCTGTTCTTCTTCCAGGCATGAGATGCCAAAGCAGCCTAGAAGTTTAATTCCTATGTCCTTTCTCTAGGGATTTGCTCAACTGCGTGATTACCAGTTTAGTAAAGATTTAACTACTGTAAGGAACTACTTCAGATATCTAATGAAACAAATGTAGATACAAAGTCCTTTGTAAATATTGCTTTATTTACAAAAGCCTCTAAAAGTAGCACAACACATGGCCTCATCCCTGTGAGTGGTGGTAACTGGACACAAATGAGCCTGGCCAGAACCTAACTGGACACAATGCAAACTTTTGGCAGCAATGCTGCGGTTCTACCCAGGCACTAGCAGGTGCAGCGAGCGCCTCCTCGCCCGGAGCCCACCCCGCCTCTCGGGAGTCCACACCGCCCTGAGCCCAGCTATTTACCTGGTGGGTAGACGAGTGCGACGTGGTCTCCGTCCTGCAGGTGCCCCCTCTCCATCAGCATCACAGCTATCTTCTCAGCTCTCTTATGAAGCTGCACGCAGGTCAGCGAGTTTGCTATTGTACCCTGAGCATCACAAGGACAAGCGGGCGAGAAAGATTCTTTTAACGTAACAGCTTTACTGCAGTAGAGTTCACATACCCACAGTTCACTTATTTAAAACGGATAACTCAGTGGTTTTTAGTGTACTAACAGAGTTGTGCAACCACCATCCCCCAGCCCCCGGGAAAGCCCCGTATCCACTAGAAGTCAATCCCCTTTTCTCCTAAGTAGGTAAGAAGGACAGCACCAAAGAGACATCTAGATATATGTGGGTTAACAAGAAATGTTTTAAAAATAATTATCTGAACTAAAAACCAGCTGAACTTAGAAAAAAAAACCTAGTAATTTTGGGACTTAAGTGTAATTGCCATGGGCAGTAATAAGGACCAGTATACCTGTAGGACTCTGACAAATAAGGCTAAAAATGTTTAAGACCATATCAAAAATCAAGGGGGTCGAAAATTAAAAAACAAAACTCCAAAAAGCAACAGTAAAAAAAAAAAAAAAACAAACTAAAAGAATTGTCAAACACACTTTCAAGTAGACGTTTAAAACATGTAGAAAAACACAGAAAACACATTTGGACTGAAAAATGCTTTTAAAAAGGGCTATTAGGAAAGATCAGCATCAAGACAAGCACTGAGAAATATCAGAATTGTATGGGATTCACTGTTTAAACCACGGAGAAAAGTAGGAATGAATTGCAAATTATAAACGTACAACTGACAAAAAAGTCCCCTGAGGACGTGAGTGACGGTCACAGTTGATCTGCATCATTCTCAGATGTGAAGTGAGCCTGTCTACAGTCACTCTAGATGCTGCTTCTTCACCATCAGACTGTATTTTGAACTGATTAATGAGGTCAAGGGCCTTTCCATAAGCAACTGGCAGTTCTGGGTGGCANCTATTGCAATCACGCAGTGTTCACGAGCGTGGAAGCACGTATTTGGCCAATAAGGGCTAAGACAAGGTTCCCCCAGACACTCCCACCCTACTACCTCCTGGTGCCATCTTAGGCTGCCACGTTAATACTCCCTTGTGGGCCCATAATGGCGCCATTTGTAATGTCACTTAAGGTGGCATTAGTTTTTAAGGCCCGACAGACCATGTGAACAGTTACAGAAATAAGGATTGTAATTGTTCTCCACGTTGTGTTAAGAATATGTCTCTATGTATATATACTGTACATATACTAAGCAATTATCTTTGTTTTTGTTGCTGTTACTCTTTGCCACGTACCATGAGACTTAGTGACTTTATACCAGCATTTAAATATTGTTAACCCTAACTCATAGTTATGGGATATTTGGAGAATGGTAAATATCATCTTAGGCCTTGACCTCCTCTTCTGGGAAAGGGATTAATGTGTTTTCAATTGTATGCAAGATAATTGTATCAGGTTAGGAGAAACTACTATGTTATTGTACCACTCGATGATTAAATATGGTTTAAGGAGATCGTATGGTCACCAGGCTAACAAGGAGATGGGAACTTGTGAAGATCAATTCCTGGTGTCAACTTGATTAGATTAAGGAATGCCAAGAAATCTGGTAAATCTATCTTTTTAGGTACATACATGAGGGTGTTTCCAGCAGAGATTAGCATGACAGCCTGAGTGGACTGGGTGGGAAAGACCCACCCTCAATGTGGGCAGGAACCATCCAATCCACTGGGGGCCCAGAGAGAACAAAAGCAGAGAAAAAAGGTGAAGCTCTCTCTCTACCTACTGGAGCTGGGAAACACTCTTCCCTGTGGACATCAGAGCTTGAGACTTTTCAGCCTTAGGTTCTGGGATTTACACTAAGGACACCATCAGCTTCCCTGGTTTGGAGGCCTTCACACTTGGACTGAGCCACGTTACTGGCATCCAGTTTGCAGACAGCCTATCATGGGACTTCACTTCAATCACATGAGCTAATTCCCCTAATAAATCCCCTCTCATATCCCATTGATTCTTTCTCTCTGGAGAACCCTGACTAATACAACTGTTAACTGTCATCCACTAGTATTTTAACCTTCAACATTGAGTCAAATTTGTTTGCAGTATTAAAAAAAACCTTATAAAAAAAATTACCCCCCCCCCCCCCAAAAAAAAAAAAAATTGAGGGAACCAGATATAATACTTTTAGACAGTGAATGCCTGGATTCCTTTAGTTTCTTTTTGTTCTGTTATTTCTACTTATGCTCAACAATAATTGAACATTTTATGAGAATTTGTTGAATGCTCCTTTTAATAATATTTTTCTTTGGTTGAATTCTTTCTCCCCTCCCCTTTATTTTCTTTCCTCTATTCATTCTTAATGAAGTGTCAAAGATTATTTTACTTCTTTTTTCTCAACTTTGAGTTTTAAGCTATAGTTCAACGATTTCACAACAGTTAATTTTAAATATAACTTTTAAGCTACAACTCCTATTTAATCTAATTAAGATATAATTTTCTAACAAAACTACATTCAAAAGTCTCCAAAATGGAAAACAAGCACCACACTTTATTTAGAAATTAAATTTAAAAAATGTTAAGTCTCTCATTGTAAAGAAAAGGCTGTTTATTCAGTTTATGACAAGGTAATTGTAATAATGGTGCTTTGGTTTCTCTGTAACTTTTATCTGGCATATGCTAAGATAAATTTTAAATTAGAATCATGATTTATTTTATATTTTAAAAAATTAACCCAACTTTAATATATCTACAATTTTTGTGTCATCTGAATTTCTACTTGTCATGTTCACTGACTCTCATTCATATTTTTGAGATGTAAAGTTTGTACAATTAATTTTAAATAGTTTCAAAATTTGTATTTTGACTGCTGGTGGCTCATGAAAATCTTCTAAAGAGTGTAGAAGAAGAAATATTTTAATTGATAATCTAAATCAGCATTTTTAATTAAATAGTCTATTTCAGATGAGATATCAAAGTGGGTGAACTAATTGAAAGACCAAAAGTTGCGAATATTTTGCAGTGAATTTCATCAGTTATTCTTAGTTGTTTGGATTTTTCCATATAGAAATTGAAAGAAATGGATTTTTTTTTGTATCTTCAGAGTAAAATGCATATTCTTTTAAAAATCTGTGAAACCATCAAAACAATCAAGATAATGAACATATCTATTACTTCCTAAGATGTTTGCATAGCACTTTATAATCTTTTTCTTACCTGATACTATTTTTTCTGTACCCAGAAAAATCACTGAACTTTTTTAGTTTGCTGTGAATTAGTTTGCATTTTCTAAAGTGTGTGTTTGTGTGTGTGTGTGTGTGTGTGTGTGTGTGTTAAATAAATGGAGCCATAAAGCATGTGGTCTTTCGTTTCTGGCTTTTTTCCACTTGGCCAAATAATTTCGAGAATCATCTGTATTATTTGTGTCTATAGTTCACTTCTTTTATTGGTATCTAGTACAGTGGCTATTTTAATATCAGAAAAAGTAGATTTCAGATGGGACCATTTTACCAGTGATAAATGGAATGTTTTCTTAATAATAAAGGAGCCAATGTGTCCAGAAGACAACATAGTCCTAAACATTTCTACATCTAATAATGAGCTTCAAAATAAAACAAAAAGTGATAGAAGTGCAAGGAGAAATAGACAAATTCACATCAAAAGTTGCAAATTACACCATTCTCTGAATAAATTATAGAACCGTGAGACAGATAATCAGTAAGGATGTAGAACACTTAAAGTAGCATTATTAACCACATTGACATAATTGACATTCATGGAATGCTCAATCCGACTGCAGCAGAAAACACATTCTTTTTAAGTTTGCTTAAAACATTGGCCAAGATAAATGGTATTCTGAGCTATAAAAAAAAAATCTTAGTAAATTTAAAAGTTTTGTAGTCATACAAAGTGTGTTTTTAAATTTATGTTTTAATTCATTCAACTTTTAATGCATAATTGAAAATCACAAATACAAATGGACTTCAAAATGTGGAAAAATAGAATTAAAAGATAAAAGTAAAAAATAGAGACCGCATTTCTCAACATAACTCCATCAAGTTCAAGGTATATTCATAAGTGACAATACCAGTCATTTCATCTGCCCCTAAAGAACTGAGGGTGCTGGGAATCTAACAATGTCAATGCAGTCTTTTTTTATATTATGAACTGAAGAAAAATGGGTGCTCTCTAAAGATTTTTTAAGATTAGAAAACCAAAGAAATCAGGAGACAAATTAGGACTGTCAGACAGATAACTAATGATTTCCCATCAAAACTCTCTCAAAATTGATGAGAGGAATGAACAGAAGCATTTTCATGATGGAGAAGAACTCTATGGTGACATTTTCACAGGCATTGTTCTGCTAAAGCTTTGGCCAACTTTCTCAAAACACTCTCATAATAAGCACAGGTTATCTTTCTTTGGCCCTTCAGGAGGTCAACAAACAAAATGCACTGAGCATCCCAAAAGACCGTTGCCATGACCTT